TTACTTTGAATGCCTTGCTTGCTGATTTTCTTCACCACTATGCTGGTAGTACTCTGTTTAAAGTGAATTACCGGGATTGCGGTATGGAAGAATTCCACACACTTGTGAATCACTAAAAACTTCAATATACTTTTTTGTACTCCATGTGTTGATTTCAATTTCCACTCCTTAGTTCACGTAGTAAAAACCTAAGTAAGGCTATCTGTTTACAAATTTTACCTATCCAGTAAGCTAATCTAATGGTCTGTATGCGTCTTGGGCGCGTCGTTAAGGAGTAAATTCGACTGTCAGATGGGCGCCTGCCCTTTTGTCCGCGATTGTGCATCCGGTTCTCCGGTGCTGGAATATCGTTCGTAATTTTCGGAAATATAATTATGCACAGTTATTTTTGCTAAAGTGTGGAATGGCTGCCTGGGGTTAGGCAGGTATTTAGGCGCAGAGAACGCTGGAAGAACCTACTGATGGACGGAACCCCTCGCAGCTGCGTCATTGAGACTCATAAACTCGGAGAAACATGTGTTTGCGCTTGAGTATTAGGTCGCGCCATGCAACCGTTGACTGCCCCTTATAGTACTTCACTGGCGCCCAACACTCACCTGTGGCGCCTCAGACCTAGGCTCTGCCTAGCGGTCACACCCCAGTAACCGCCTTGACCGGTGGGCCGAACCAGATGAACATATCCGGTGCTGTGTGCTCCCTACACCCGGTAATTCCTTTCCCATCCCCCGGCCCTCCCCCCTCCCTTCCTATCGGCCCAGTCCCTCTCTTCCATGCTCTCCTCTTCCTCCCACCTCCAACTTACTTCCTCCTTTCCCCCTCCCCACATCAAAAAGTCGTACGGGTTAGGTGACATGCGACCCCGTAAGCGGCCCAGGATAACTAGGGTCGCCCTCCTACTAAATCAAGCCGTGACCCATAGTGGAGTTTGGGAGCGGGCTGGGATATCTAAGCAGCCCTATCTACTAACAATACTGATTATGGTAAAGGGGGCGCTCACCGGTCGTTTTTCGGAACTCACTCGTCCCGTTGTGCCTAAGGGCTTTCTCTTGAGCTCAACCAGCAGCCGCACAGCGGCGCATGATATAGACAGAATGTTATTATGGGCAAAGACAAGGGAGACTGGAATGGCCATTTCTGGCTTAATAGCCGTCATTAGCCAGTTATACCCAACCCGGAATTATGGAACACATGGGGCTTGGTCTTGCGACCTGTTGGTTAAAGGTCCAACGTCCCTAACCACTGGGCCACGAGCTCGTTATTCTGCCAGTTGCGAGCGGGAATATGCGATAGTAGAGGGGCCCTCACCGGTGGTTTTTACGGAACTTACTCGTCCCTTGACTATTCTCTCGCGGGGGAAGGGACTAGAAAAGATGCTCTAAACAAATGCTGAGAGCATGTCATCTGCACGCAGACTGTGGCTTGCAGATGGGCAACTCACGGTCGAACCAATCAAACAAACAGCAACCCACCTCCACCTCACCCCATAGGCTGTTAGATTGAATCCACTCACTTTGGCTGCCTGGAATATTCGTTCCCTTTTAGATATCCCGAGGAGCAGTCGTCCAGAACGAAGGACGACACTATTCTTGCGAGAATTGGCGCGCCAATCATCGGCTGTGATGAGACAAAGAACAAGATCCATAAAGACCTACACGCATTCTTTGCGACTTTGCCGAGGGCGGCCAAGCTGGTTATCCTTGGTGACTTCAATGCCCGCATCGGAGCGGACTGTGCTGTCTGCAGCGGAGTGCCGGGTCCCCAAGAAATCGGCAGCTGCAACAGGGACGGCACTTTCTCCTGCAAACCTGCGCAGAACACCCCCTCTTCCTGAGCAACACCTCCTTCCGCCTGCCGACGCGGAAGAAGGCGACATGGATGCACCCCAGATCGCGGCGCTGGCAGCCGCTAGACTACGTTCTCGTTTGGCGGAGAGATCGACAAGATATGTTGGTGACCACGGCTATCTGCGATGTCTACTGCTAGACGGAACCATCTTGTCATCTCCAACATGAGGTTCAGACTGAAATCCCGCAGGAGGCGCCAAGCCAAACGACACCGGATAAGTTAAGTACTGCTTAGTTGAATTTACCTGCTCACTGCTTACATTTCACCAATCAGTTAGCCCAGCAATTAAAAAACTGCCGGTCTCGGACGACAGCGTCACCGTAGAAACTCGGTGGTGTCAACTGCGGAATGCCAATCACTCGATTGCTTTGGATTTTCTCGAACGCGCACGTCGTCAGCACCAGGACTGCTTTGACAATTATGGCGCAGACATCAGCCAACTGCTCGCTGAAAACCGCGGGGTGCAAAAGGCCTACATGAACCATCAAATGGAGGCCAACAAAGACCTTCTTCTGTTATCGCCGCGTTGGGCAGCAGCGACTGAGAGAGATGCGGGGCGTCTGGATTACCCACAGGGTCGAGGAAATTCAGGGATATGCCGGACGCAATGAAACCAAAAACTTCTTTGCATTCTTCAAGGTGGTCTGCGGTCTAGATCCCCCAACTAAAGGAACTGCGGCGCTTCTCAAGTTGAGTAGAACAGCGCTTCTGGTGGAGAAATCACAAATTCTGAAACACTGTACTGAGCACTTCAAAGTGTCCACAACCCTCCATCATAATCTCTGATGCTGTCATCGACCGGCTCCCTAGTGAAAACAAGCAACTTGGATCTGTCGCCTTCTCTCCCAGAAACAATCCGAGCATGCACCAAATATCCAGCGGAAAAGCACCGGGATCCGGGGTGATTCCGGCCGGATTCTGCAAGCACGGCGACACCCTCTGATGGATCAATCCACAACGCTATACCAGGAGATACGGCACCGAGTACAAGTTCCTCAGGCCTTCAAAGATGCGACAGTGAACCATCTCTATAAACGGAAGGGGAACCGGCAACTGCGCAGTAGCCACAGAGAATCTCGCTGCTCCAAACGGCCGGGGAGATCTTCGCATGCATCCTTCTCAACCGTCTCAATGACCATCCCGTACGAGCACTTCTACCAGAAAACCAGTGTGGCATTCGACAACACCACAGAACCACCGACACGATATCCGCCGCACGCCAACTGCAAAAGCAGTGCTAAGAAATGCGGATCCACATCTACACTTTGTGGATCTGACGGAAGTCTTCGACGTAGCGAGTTGTAATTGACTATGGAAAATCATGCAGAAATTCATTTGTCCCGACCGATTCACACGTATGGTAAGTCAGCTCTACGAGGGGATGATGGCGTGCGTCACGGACAGCAGAACCGTTTAGAAGCATTCCCTGTGACCGGCGGAGTGAAACAGAGCTGTATACTTGCCCCCGACTCTCTTCAACCTCATGTTTCATTCCAAGCTGATGGACTCCTACCGTGATGAGCTTCCCGAGACCTGCATTCCCTACAGAACTGACGACATCTTCTCAACTGCCGACCCATGCAGGCCTCAACACGTCCTCCCTCGACCACTATCCATGACCTGCTCTTCGCTGACGACTGCGTACTTAACACTGCAGCGGGGTCTGGACCCCTTTGGATCCGACTGCGCCAACTTCAGGCTGACCATCAACACGAACAAAACAGTGATCATGCATCCACCGCCTCCCAACGTTGCATAAAATTCTCCTTGCATCCACCTCAGTGGCACCGAACTGAAGACCGTGAGTAAGCTAGCTTGCATAGGCAGCACACTCACGCTGCATCAAAATAGACGACGAAGTGACTAACTGGATCTCTAACGCCAGCCAGGCTTTCGACCGACTGCAGAACTCTGTATCGAATCGCCACGGTCAACGTCTCCACACTAAAATGACGACACACAGAGCGGTCATCTTGACAACTTTGCCGTGTGGCGCGGAGAGTTGGACAGTCTGCGAGAAACAGGCGCGAAAACTTGATCAATTCCACAGAATTTATCTCCTGCGGATACTGAAGCTAGGGTGGCAGGACAAGATTCCGGACAGGGAGTAGAGCTATCAACAAGCTGGTTTCCGACCGCTTCATCTGGCCTGGAATGTCCAAGGACCTCAAAGCATGGACACGGGTTTGTATCGCCTTTCAACGGAGTAAGGTTCGGCGGCACAACAGGGACACAAGTGGCACCTTCCCCGGCCCTGGTGCAAGGTTCAGCCACGTTCACCTGAACATTGTATGTCCCCTGCCTCTGTCCAATGGCTGTACCTATCTCCTCACCTGTGTGGATCGGTTCACCCGGTGGCCTGAAGCTATCCCGCTGTCTGACACTGCTGCACCAACGGTGGTCAAGGCTCTTCTCAGTCGTTGTGTTGCCATCTTTGGTGTACCCTCCACGATTACGACTGACCGCGGTGCCCACTTTGAGTCTCACCTCTTCCAGTCTCTCCTCTCCTTTTCAGTCTCTACCCGCATCCGGACGACAGTCTATCATCCGGCTGCCAACAGGATGGTCGATCGGTTTCACCGCCAGCTAAAGGCCTCTCTACGCGCCGCGGCCGATCGGGAGAACTGGACGGACCACCTTCCCCTGGTCTTGTTGGGCATCCGCTCCGCTTCCAAGTCGGACCTTGACTGTTCCGCAGCTGAACTGGTGTTCCGCGCCATCGTCCGACTGCCCGGTGAGATGATCTCGCCAACCCCGCGAGGTTCGGTTGAGGATCCCAACAACCTCCTGCATCGCCTCCGGCAGTTTATGCGGACACTTTCTTTGGTTCTGCCCAGGTCTTACGCCTCTCCGTCCTATCTCGAGAAGGACCTGGCAACCTGCTCTCACGTCCACCTTCGATGTGATCGAGTCTGATGGCCTCTGGAACCGCCCTATGACGGCCCATTCCGGGAGTTCACTCGGGAACAAGGACATTCCGCATTCAACGCGGCAACCGTAAGGAGGTTGTGAATGTGGACCGACTCAGAGCTGCTGTCCCGGGCACTCCTCCGGACGAGCCCTGTGGTCCCCTAATTTCTGTTCCCCCAGCTCCGGCCTCTATTCCACCTTGGAGTATTTTCCCTCTCTCCTCCCTGTCTGCTACCTTCAACTGCCACCACTATTTCCAACACTTCCGCCATAGGACGTATCCACTCTTCTACGGACCCTGTAAATATCAGTCGCAGTGGTCGTTACGTACATTTTCCTGATCGGTTGGTCACCCATTTCTTTTAGACTTGTACACATACTTCAGCGCTCCGATAGTCACCCTCCGAACTCGGAGGAGGTTATTGAACGGGGGCGCCAGACTATCTTGCCTCAAGCTACCTGTTCATAATTCTTGAACTCACTAGTTGTTTAACTGAATGGAAAGAACACAACACAATGCGACGCGCTCAGCGACTGTTGGATTATCAGGTTGTTTGACATTAGATTATTAATTCATTCACAACTCCTGATATCCATAGACTGGGATTGACAGTCGTGTACTAAGCGCTCGCAAAAAAACCAGCGCGACGTCCCGGTGACAAAGGCGATTCTGCATGCCGACGGGTGGGCCGAACATCGTCGTCTGAGACTGCTACGAACCTGCGCAGAACGCCGTCTCATCCTGACCAACACCTTCTTCCGCCTCCCGGTGCGCAAGAAGGCAACTTGGATGCACCCTCAGTCGCGACACTGCATCTGATGGACTATGTCCTCGTCCGGACGGAGGCGAGACCAGCGGGACCTGCTGGTGACAAAGACGATTCCGGGTGCCAAAGGGTGGGCTGACCATCGTCTTGTCCTTTCCAAGACGCGGATTCGTCTATAGCCTGGCAGGAGACCCCAAGATAGGCAACCAACCGGTAGGCTGCTCAAATCCGGCGTTATTAGGGCACTCTGAAGACTTCCTTGAAGTGTCTGCAGATCAAACCAGTCGCCCGGACTGAACTACGTGGAAGAGAACAGTGAAGACAGACGCAGCAATCTGCGAAGCCAACCGCGTCACCGTCGCCAAAGCCAAACGTCAAGCTCGCAAATCTTAACTTCCCCCGTCACGAAAGTTCACACTGTCGTTGCCACGCTGTAATCATCCACCAACACAGTTTTCCCTGCCCCAACCGCTCCGCGGACTGCACTGGCCGGCGTCAAAACCATTCCCACCACCCCCACCACAACGACCTCATGCACTGCCCCCACTGAAGGGACGACGTCGGACCTCCCATCAACTTCAAACATCACCAACATCCCCACACCCAGAGATGGTTCCTCGCTTTATGCCTCTCTTCATTGCGATTGCACTTCCACCTCACACATTGAATTGCATTCATCGCATTATCGACACACCAAACACACCTGACACATCCAGCATTCCTAACAATCCCACACGCTGTCAACCAGCGCGCAAAATACCAGCGGCTCCGACACCATCATCATCATCATCACCAAAACCGACTACGATACCGCTGACCTGTTCTGTCCACATCTTCCCGCACGTTTACCTCACCGATCGACCTGGTCGCTCACTTTAAAATTCATCGCATAGAGACAGGCGGACCAGTGCACCAACATACCTTCACCGCATCCGCCTCAACTGCCCTCACTGCAAGCGCACGTTCGCTCACCGCCACCTCACAACGCCACCGCCAAGGGCCTCCAACGTCTCCACGATGTCATCGGACAAATGGACACCTCCGGACCAACTGCAGCACCCGGAATGCACCAACCGTCGTCTCTTCGTCCACCACTCCCTCGCCACTCACGCCGTCACCTAACGTCGACCCCACTCCCCAACCACCACCACCATCCTCCTCCTCCGCTGCCCTAACGTCTGCTGCTGTGGCGTCTTTTATGCCCATCAACAGTACACACCATCCTGACACACCAACACCACCGCAGTCAACACCAGTGACGAGGACCGTGTCTATACCTGTCCTCATTGTGATCGCACATTCACCTCACAAATTAACCTGGTCGGTCACTTGCGAATCCATCACACACAGACTGGCGAATCCGTGCCTGGAGCAGCAACTTTCGTCCGCCGCATCTGCCTTCACATTCTACACTGCCATCGCACATTCATGCACCGCATGGGCCTATTCGGCCACATGCAAATCCACGAGAGCGGAATTGACCGCCCCCTCGACTCACCCACCACGCCAAAGCCCACCCCCACTTCGTCGCCCCGTGCGCCCACCACCTTCTCCGCAACTGACACCGACGCCGCCGACTTCACCTGTCCACACTGTCCACGCACATTTACCTATCGCATCGGCCTGGTCGGTCACTTGCGAATAAATCGCACAAAGACTCCATCCTCTCCAAGCGTTCAACTGGATTCCCATCGTCTCCAAAGACGCTTCGAAGACGGCCGTCACAAATCCCCTTGGTCCTTTTGAGATCCTGTGCATCCCCTGTACACTCTGCAACGCCTACTGAACCTTCCAGAGGTTAGTAGACATAGGTGTGCAAGGACTGTCAGTTGTCTACACCCATACTAATGATTGCTCGAAGGCTACTGACTGACTTCCCCCAACTCGGTCCATGCAGTCCGTCCAGTTATGTGTCTGTTTGTGTGGAGTGGCGGACTGGTGGGCTGAGAGCAGGGCTCAAACAACTCCTTCCACGGCACTCCCACGTGTGTGAGAGATACGTTGATCAACCCCCGTTGTGAGAAATCCTGGTGCTTGTGTTTGGGGGGCCAGATCGTGCATGTGGCGTGCGCAGATAAGGTCACTAGGCTATGTCAGCCACCGTGCCCATTCCCCCCACCTATCAACTGACCGGCTCGGACAGTGGCTGAGGCATGGAAAATGGCAAGGCAAAGTGAGGTCGACGATTCAGCGCATTTTCCTCACTATAAACAATCTGACGCGCTTAAAGCTATCACGGTGCGCTGAAAACTGTGGTTTGGAAGGTTGTCAACTGAAGGGGTTACTTGGACCTCACAGCCGGCTCAGTGTTGTGTGCGGAGGGGGTGTGGAGTTGAGCGCCAAGATGCGGGCTCAACAGTGCCATCCACCTGCGTCCTCCCCAGTCTCCGATCTTCTTGACTCTGTCTTCACACCGGGTCCAGCTAGGGAGTTGGGAGGAGGATGCGGCAGATTCCGCGAAAGTCTACATTCACTATAAACTAGACCACGCGCAAGTCACCGTCCCTGGTCTACTTTGCAGTGAAGCAGACGGTGAACATCGCCGAAATCGACGGTTAAACTATCGGACTGGTTGGCTGATAGCCAGGCTGTCATGACTCCTTAAGTGATCTGTGACACTCATGCATGTGGGGAGTGTGTGTGCTTCGTAGATAGTGCCCATTGTAAATTCAAAAATATTTCGTAAAAACACTCACGGAAGTATTCTCCTTGTACTCTTTTGGTAGTAAACCATGTCTTCAAATTTTGTGTTCGAAGAAATGGTACCTTACGGTTTTAAAGATTTTCTAATTATGCGATTTTTTAAGCCTGTACAATCCTCACTCGAATGGCATCGTATCTGTCTGTTTAATAATGCTTCTCACTAAGTATACAACATAGTTTATAGTTGTTGCGACATTCCATGTCCCATAAGGTATTTTCATAACGGTATAAATGAAAGAATGTTTCTCCTTACACGGAAAGGATACAGCTTGAAGAGTGAGGGCCCTAAAAGAAATTGCAACGGCATATCGACTTCACAATTACTCGGGAATTGGCACACTTTTTAGAACCAAAAGACATCATTTCTTTAGGTATAAAATTTAAGGAAGACATGATTTGCCACCAAATGAGCACAAGAGATAATGCTTTTTAGAGATTTTCCATAAAATATATTCGAATTTACTAGGGCCTCGAAAACCGATAAAGAAAATGTATACTAGTTAAGTGATTATTGGTGACCGAGTGCGGTTTTTGCGGGCGGACAAAGAGGTGCTGCAAAGGCCAGCACTCTGAATTGACTAAAGTATCACGGGACTACGTTGCAAGATAATCAGTCTTACAGCTCCGCGTAAGTAATCCATCCCAATCGAAAACGAATTTCAGAATTGTGGTTAACTGTTTAAGGGATAGGTAACTCCCTGTAGGTCCATGGCTGATTAGTACTAGTTTCTATGCCATTTTGGAGTAATCCTGTGGGATATATGTATTTATTTCACTTCAAGATTTGCTACATCAGAAGCTGAGTGCAAGCACGGAGGTAGAAGGCTCATTATTCTAGTAAGTTTTGTCTGTGCAAGCAAAATGAACACTCTCAGAAAGCAGATGAAAAAGCGACTCTGTTGATGGAGAAATAAACCTACCCGCCTAACGTGCGATAGGAACCGCCGTGTGACGGGTTGATTTGCATTAAATTAAAGGGAGCATCTACTACCATATCCTAACTGTAATCCAAACTCTCCTGGAATTCAGCAGGCGGCTGGCACGATGAAAACCCGCACCTAGGCGTGCCACCACACTCCCTGGTCAACAACGTTCACTGACCAGGATTCTACACAACAGCAAAAAGGAGAGGTGGCTCAGATCCCACTCGGTGGGAGTGCCATAAGAAGGCGCCATTGCAGCCTGACTCTCAGTGCACCAGTCGTCCATTCAACACAAACACTCACTGGGATGACTGCGGGGTCAAAGTTATCCCGTCAAATTGCAGCTTTCCAAAACACCGTTTTTAGCGCATCGTGATCTATTCATGCGCTTCAGATAGTCTATAGTGAGAAATATGCACTGAGAAAGTCGACCTCGCTCTCTTCCTACTCCCGGGCATCAGTCCACTGTGCGATCCAATCAGATGTTTGCTGTAGGGGAGTAAATGCAGGGGTTGACAGGGCTAGACGGCCGTCTGCGTGAGCCACATACACGACCTGAGTCCTCATACGCACACACCAGGATTTCACACACAAGGAGTAGAACGCTCGGATTTCGCATGCAACGGAGGAGTCACACGGAAAAAGGACCCGAAAAACACATTTCCCACCTGTGTGAGAAGTGCTGATGATGTGGGGGTGTTAACGGTGTTTATGCGCGGTACATGTATTGATGAGGAAATGCATGATGATGTGGTCATGTCCGCGGTGATTTATCGCAGATTATAATGAAGACGCATGTGACCGAAGAGGCCCATGCAATGGCTGGATGTGCAGGGGCAATGAGGACAATTTAAACGATGTAGTCCGGTGTGTGTTGGTGTTGCAGGCACTGGACCGCTAGTCTCTGTACGATGGATTCGTTGGTGACCGATAAGGCAAATGCGTGGGGTGAATGTGCAGTGGAAGAGCATAAGTAGCGGAGTTGTCCACGGTTATCAGTTGGGTGCCCTTGAAGTGGACGGCGGCTGATGGATGACCACCGTTCTGTCCATGTTGACGGTCATTCCGAAGTTTGTTCAGCCGGAGGCGAGGAGGTTCATGCTCCATTGCAGGTCTGCTTCTGTTACGGTTTCGAGCGCGCAGTCGTCCGTGAAAGTAGGCCGCGGGCAGTGGTCATGGACAGACGATTTGCGGTCTACATGCACCAGCCCTTGAGAAGGCGATCGTCGATTCTGCAGGCGATGCGGATCCAGGGACGCTCAACACGGTAGGCGTCCAGCTGTGCGGCAGAAAACGTGAGGCAAAATACGGTGGGAAAGACTAGGCGGTGTCGCTCCGCTCCGTTGGTCACTGCGAATGCTTCTAATTTGGTCCTTTTGTTTGTATTAGTGAAGATGACACCCCATGTGCGTGAATCGCCCAGGGTATCCGAATTTCTGCATGATTTTTCCCAGTCCATCGCGATTGGCCGTGATGAAGACTTTCGGCAAATCCATGATTGTGGTGTAGAGGTTGGTCCACATTTACTGACATTTCCCTTGTAACCAGCGGATGACGAACCAGCGCCCGAAGCCCCAACATACACCCGTCGCACCTCCCTTAATAGGTCACACTGCCTTCGCACATTCAACCTCCTCATGGGCCTGACTGGCCACAGGCGCCACCACCGCGGACCAAACCCCACCACCACGCTTTCCCAACAACACATACACCAGGCATGAACCTGTCCGACCTCACACTCTGCGGAATCGGGACAGGCACCTACTAAGTTGGGGGTGAGTGTGTTCTGTGACTGCTTATCCACATGGTCCCTATGGTACCATAGCACATGCGCATTTTGAGCAGCATGACGAAATGGAGGACTGACTCAAGATTTACCAATGGTCAACAACACAAAGGTTCCCAAATCTGAAGTCAGGGAAGTCAGATTGGGTTGGACAAGTCCTACTGATGAAAAAGAGTTATCAGGATGCTCAGCAAGCAGCTGCCGCCAACTGTCTCTTCAGGCGTGTTGTTATTAGTAAGTGTCCGCCGGTGAGGTTATTTGCTCCAACGCGAGCGTGCGCATTTCGCTCTATCGCAGTTAGTGTCCGCCCGTAGCCAATTAACGACGGAACAGAGTTCATAAGCATCGAGCTCTCGTAAGGCTAGTAACAAGCCTCGCGCGGTCTCAGTAGTGAATCGACAGGAAGCCTGGGGAGAACAGAAAGGCAGCAAGACAAAGTGACGGAGGTCGTGGAAGAGGACAGCCACAGTACTCCTCCCTGCCCTCCCTCCCCCTGTTAGACCGAAGGCGGTGTGGAGCGACGCCAAAGGAATTTGTTCATGTCTAAAAAACATGAGTAATCAAACGGTCGGGGAGATGAACATGACGTTCACCGCGGGTAATACATACAGGGGCACAGGAGAAGAATTTGAGTTTGCTGCTGCTGGAGGTTGATTAAGAAGTGGCAGTTGGAGGTGGCGAA